GTTGCTCCATGCTATCTCACCCCTTAGGTCTTAATTATAATTTTCATCTTATGTAATTGAAGGACACATGCTAGGCCTGTAATTAGATATATAACCTGCGACAGCCTTTTAAAGCGAATAAGGAACACAAATAGTAGCCAGGTAATTAGAGGAATAATTGATTGATTGGTAGATCTTGAGGAATAATTGATTCGCAAGATATTAGGGGATATATTTATGGGGCACAGAATAAAGAATGTTTTTATTTCAAGAAAAAAAAAAGGCAGAATCTTTCGTACTAAGCCTTTTGGCTTGGGCAGAATCTATCTGATAGGAATTCTTCCCAGGTCCTTGTGACTTTCACTTATTTCAGATTATTATTCAGTCAAATTCAGTTTCATATTTATCAATAATTCTTTGTGCTCTTCACTCTATCAGAAAGGGCAAAACCAGGGAGCTTATACACTACTATACTCCACCCAAGCCCAACCTAGGCATAATTTTAAGAAGATTCTCAACTCAACTCAAAATGACACAAAGATTCACTTTTGAATAAAGCTGAGTGGAAGCTAACAGCTAGCTGCCGTACTCTAGTTCCAGCTCAACTAATGTATTATCAGTCTTAAAGGCAACTGAAGTACAAAGCAACTCAATCACACAACTTCAATTTGTACCCGACCTGGTTTCCATTTACCGGTTTATTATAATCAGTGTCGAAACCATCTCTTTTAATGCTTATCTGCTATCTAGAGCCACTTTTGCAAGATCAATCTTCTAGAACTAAAAGAATCACAATGTGCACAAAAAAAGCAACTTCAGTGTTCGAATCACAAAACTGGTATACACTCAATAGGAGAAGTTGGATGGCCGGGATCATGTCCAATGTTGACATATTAACAACTTTATGAGCCGGATCGATCAGAGGCAAGCTTTTCAAGATTTTGCATTTAACTGGAAAAAATATACACATTCAATGAGCATACCGAAGCTATAATTCCACACAGGCACATGAAAAGGAGAACTTGGAGTAACCCTCCAAGAATAGCAACTGCATGAACAACTCTAAGCTGTGATTTATGAGGGATGATTAGCATTTAAAAAATAAGCATTTGATTTCATATCCAAGGGAGATAGAAGAGTAATCCACACTCCAAAGCAGCATACAAAACAAGCTAACCTTAAATGTAGAGAATTCCAGGCCCAGAGCAAAAAGAAGAAAAATCACACCAAACTGAGCAACTGTTTCAACCTACATCCGTCAGTTACAGCATGATAGTGAAAATTTTACTTTTGCAAAAATCAATTTATCCGAATATGTTATATTCATATGCCAGAAACTGGAAAGACGATATTTATGTAACATTCTTTAGCTACGCACTTGCACCATTTCACTTATAACATTGAAACCACCAGGTCCTACAACTGATCCCGCTAGTAAGTATCCGGTAATAACCTGCACAGTACTTTTATCAATTAATAAATAAAAACTGGTAAAAAGGACAAAGAGAACATAGACCAAGGTTAGAGATCATACCTGTTGTCCAGCACAAGCAAAAGCAATCCCACCACATGTTGCAGAGACAATGACAACAACCAGATCCGATATGAGCCTGCAAAATCATTGCTTCAAAGAAATTAAATGTGTGCATTAAGATTCGAAGGCTTCTTATTCCACAACAACAAAAGAATCACCATGTATAGTAATGCAGAACCAAAAGAGATGTGGCAAAGTATCATAATAAACCACGAGCATACCTCAAGTCCAACTGCAGCACTGGGTATTTAGATTTAAAATTTGATATGATAAACACATTATCCTGCACATACATGAACATTATTACTTGAAACAATGGTAACACTTAATGTCAATAACCTGAGCAGAACAGGAATCTGTCACTTCTCTTCTCCATTGTTCTATAATTCCTTCTAAAGGATACCAATGTAGGGAGAAAGGGAAACAAGGAAATTGTTGTAAAATAAAACCCAAACAATGAAGCAGAAAAATTCAGTTACCTTTCTATCAATTAATGTTGGAATCTCTTCGGCTCCATTGTCGTTGTCCAGATTGAAAACTTGGTGAAGTTTAAAGGATCTATAATTAAGTAAAAGGAAGATAACATGTGATAGAAAGGATCGCATTCATATTAGCAAGTTCATACAGTACGAACACTTACTTTTCCTCCTTGGTCTCATTCTTCTTAGACTTGACTCTAGCTACAGTTTCCAATACAGCCTGATCATGAGAAACAGAGTAAGTGAAGAATATAACAAAAAATTTTGACACCCCTCCACAATGAAGATTCTTTGCCTTTTTTTGGGCACTTCGTCCCGTAATTTACTTTCTCAACAGAAATATAAGGCGACTGTATATGCAATCATCTTTTAAATATCAACAATTCAACACATCTGAAAAATTGAATTAAATCCTGGAGTGAATTACCTCCCTCATAAACATGTTAAACAGGTATAATAAATTGCATCAACAATACGATTTAACTAACAAGAAGAGAGATGTCACAAACCTGCCGCTCAGCCACACTATTGTTGAAACTACCAGCATCATTCCCTGCAATTTCAATTAAATTTTAACTTTAGATATGATCAAAAGAGAATCTATCTTCACTTCATGTGTTTATTCCTCAAGCGTATAGGGAACCAATCAATTTGCTTCCATATATATTATAACAATAACATATAATGTCACCGAGGCCAAATAACTCATAATGGGATAGCCGGAAAGAAACTACAATGAACATGGAGTCATATTAGATCCATAGATTGGTAAAAATCAAATAATTATTCAATTAAGTAGAGCATTGGCAGCCAATGAAAGCCTTGCCTTACAAATACTTCTTGTCGAATAGAAATAAATGCCAAACCAGTTTCAGAAAATTTCAAAGAAAAGTTTCCCTCGATAAACCCCTCATAACAAACAATGATAAGAAAGTTCTAAGAGTAGATGTCTGTCAAAAGATAAACCTGAATAGACTGTAAACTAGTTCCTCAGCACGTCTCTAATTCCTGAAAACACCAAATAAACCCCAAAGCAAACCCTGATCAATCCCTGATTCAAACAAAACATGACAACGAGTTGAATTAACGGCAAAATAATCTAGATCCAAAAAACCTTCATTTTGATCCTCGTTCTCGGTGAACTCCTTCTCAAGCGCGCGATCGATCATGTCAGCGAATGTATCCTCCTTCTGGGCAGTCCTATTCCCATTGGACTCGATGC